TGGATGCAGAGAAGAGAACGGTTACAGAGCACAGATTCAGCCAAGCAGAGATATCTCGAGGGCTTTGCCTTTCCTGGAATTCTACTTACAAGTCGTAGTACTGGCTCCACACAATGGAACTGCAACTGAAACAGAATTTCTAAGAGCAGCCTGAGTCAGGGGGATGAATGTTTACAAAGACAAGCCTGGACCCTGGACAAGGACTGGCATGGAGCTGTTGCGGGTTGTACAGGAGAGTCCTGCTGGACCAGAACAGAGTTGAGCAGTTGTAAAATGAATGAGTAAACAATGGTGGAAAAGAACTAACATTTTTTATGCAGTGACTAAGTATTCAGTCAACTCCCCTGGACAGACCTCATATCACAGCCACTATAAAGGTGAGACTGTGATGATGAGTCATTTGAATGGGTGACACAGCCAGTAAGATCAGAGTTTAGATTTAACCCTTCCCAGTGTGCTGGACTCCAAAATTCATTCCATTAGGCCTCATGACCTCCTTCATGTGTTTAATGAGCTCCTACTGTATACTAGATTAAGTAAGCCACACGGTGCACGCCTAGCAGATAGAACAGCATCTTGTTAAATGTTTGTACTCAGGGACTAGCACAGTGCCTGGCCCTGAGAAAATTCCTCTGGGGTGGCCCAGGATTTCATAGGAGAACAAAACCTGCATGCAGAGGGAGATGTAAGTAACTGTCATTGGAGTGTTTTGTACAAAGGGTTTCCAGGCATGAGTAATCACTCGGGGGCTTCCACAGAGAAGCTGGATCTGAAAGGAGGTATGGGAATTGCTGTGCTTAGGAGAGAGGAACTCTCAGTAGAGGGACAGAGACCCATACACAGGAACGGGCATGACATATGAGACAGCAAGTGGATGGACCCATCTGGCTAGAGTTTGTGGTTTGAGTAAAGGAGAAGCAGGAGAGAAAAGTAGAAAGGTTAGGTTTGTTTACACCTATCCTCGAATGTCAGGTCATAGATTTTGGAAGTTTTAGGAAATACCAATGAAACTGAACAGATGCTTCGTGTGTGCCAGACACTGTTCTCATCATCTGTAGCAGGATTTCTCAGCCTGGACACGACTGACCTTTTCAGCCAGATAATTCTTTTTTTGTGAAGCCCTGTGCATTTTGGAATGTTCAGTAGCATCCCTGGCCTCCGCCCACTAGATGCCAATAGAACCTTTCCTGCAGCTATGACAACTAAAACTGTCTCCTGACATTGCTAAATGTCCTCTACAAGGCAATATCACTCCTGGTTGAAAGCCACTCTCTACATATATTCAGTCATTCCATTTTTATGACTCTGTAAGGTAGTTACTATTAACTCTATTTTACAGGTGTGGAAACTGAGGCATGAAGAAGCTATGTAATGCGCGCAGGTTCAATGGGCTTATAAGCAGGACAGTCAAGAAACTCTGCCGGGACCGATTAATTTAGAGCCCATGACCTTACTCACTATGCTGTGTTTAACATGTCAAAATATTAAATTTTAAAAGTGCGGCTGGGCACATTGGTTCACGCCTGTAATTCCAGCACTTTGGGAGGCCGAGGTGGGCAGATCATGAGGTCAGGAGTTTGAGATCAGCCTGGCCAACATTGTGAAACTCCATCGCTACTAAAAATACAAAAATCAGCCAGGCGTTGGGGTGCGCACCTGTAATCCCAGATACTCCGGAGGCTAAGGCAGGAGAATTGCTTAAACCCAGGGGGCTGAGGTTGCAGACAGCCAAGATCGCGTCACTGCACTCCAGGCTGGGTGACACAGCAAGACTCCATCTCAAAAAAAAGAAAAACAAGTGCAAAATGCAGTAAGCCCTGGGCTTACAATTATGTAAAATTTGTATGAAGTTGCATGACAACCCGTGACAGTGCACAAAAACATCAGCAGCAGCAGCATCAAAGGTTTAAATCAGAGAGGTCGAATTATGGGAGCTTCATTTTTTCTTTAATGGTGTTAAAGTCATATTTTTAAATATAAAAGTATACACTTTCCATTTTTAAAATGTATTTCTAAATATAAGTGAAGCATTTGATGGACCCTAGGCAATACCACTAACCTTATTTCTCCACCCGTTTTCAAGATTAATTGACTAAAATCAGTTTGCTGCCACTCATTCTTTTGAGACTCAGCTCAGGCATTACCTCTTCCTGCAGGAAGTCCTCTCTAGCTACTCCACTTCTACCTCTGGAGTGGCTTCATGTGCGCATTCTTACTGCAGTCAGAATAGTATCCTAATTTCCTTAATTTCCCTAACACCCTAATTTCTTTTTTTCTTTTTCTCTATTATACTTTAAGTTCTGGGATACATGTGCAGAATGTGCAGGTTTGTTACATAGGTATACACGTGCCATGGTGGTTTGCTGCACCCATCAACCTACCATCTACATTAGGTATTTCTCCTAATGCTATCCCTCCCCTAGCCCCCCACCCCCCAACAGGTCCCAGTGTGTGATGTTCCCCTCCCTGTATCCATGTGTTCTCATTGTTCAACTCCCAGCACCCTAATTTCTTACTCACTATGCCTTTCTCCCACAAAACTGTGAGTTCTTTAATGCTAGAAAAAACTTATTTCAATAATTTAATCTCCAGCTACCAACATGTCTGGCATAACAGTGAATGTGCTTGAATTAATGTTTGTCAAATGAATAAGCAAGCACAGTTTTGAGGAGTCCAGGGTCACAGGCCCAATTCACTGGACAGCACAGTCACTGAGCTCTGCTTCCACGCCATGGCTGAGCCTCACACTCCAGCCTGAGGACAAAGCTCAATGAGTACCATGAACACAAGGGACATAAGGAAGGAGAATGAGGACACGTCAATATCTTTCTCCCAACAGCCCTGTATGGCCTCTCATTCCATTAGATTCCACACATCTGCCTTTGGATAGTGTATTAGTCCATTGCACTGCTGTAAAGAACTACCTAAGACTGGGTAATTTATAAACAAAAAAAGTTTAATTGACTCACAGTTCCACATGGCTAGGGAGGCCTCAAGAAGCTTACAATCATGGCAGAAGACAAAGGGGAAGCAAGCACCTTCTTCACAAGACCTCAGGAGAGAGTGAGCGAGGGGGAAGCTGCCAAACACATTTAAACCATCAGATCTCATGAGAACACACTCATTGTCACAAGAACAGCATAGGGGGAAGAGGCTCCCATGATCCAATCACCTCCCACCAGGTCCCCCCCTCAACATGTGGGGGTTACAATGCAAGAGGAGATTTGGGTAGGGACACAGAGCCAAACCGTGTCAGATAGAAACAGAGAAAAAGCAGAAAAGTGAGACTAAACAGGAAAAGAAAAATTCAACCCTTTGCTTAATACAATACCTGTATCTGTGAGGTCCTCTTCAAACATTCAGAGCAGTATGTCCTGTGTCTCTAATGCAGGGCACGTCAGGGTCAAGAAGTTGGCTGGCTGCTTCCAATTAAACAGCAACAAACTCTAACATCAAGTTCTACAGTGACAGATTCTATTTATCAAACAACTATAATTGATAGATAAGTAACAGCTCCTTTTTATCAAATTTATAATTCCCCAAATAATTACACTCTCTTTGTCTTTAATCCTCACAACAACCCTGTTATTATCCCAGCGTCAGGCATCCGTCTGTTTCAGTTCCTTTATCTATCAAATTGGGATAACAATGACTGCTTCGTAGATCTCCACAACCATTAAATGAATTTATCCACATAAAGAGCCTAGAACAGTACCCAGCATATAATAAGCACTCCATAAATGGTAGTTATTGTCTCCTATTCACAGATCAGGAAACTGACACAATCAGGATTCACACCTCTCTCTATCTTTGTCTGCCACTCTTCCCCCAGAATGATTTACCCATCAGGTTACGTACTAAAAGGGAAAATAGCAAAGGATTGTGTCCAAGGCAGCTGGCTTCAGGGGCCACCTGGCTCCCACGGACAGAACTAGATTAAGCGCTGGACACCCTTGACTCCCGTCCCCTGTGCTTTGGTGCCCTCTGCTGGTCTGAAAACTCCACTGTTGGGAATTGGTGCGTGCGTGGGGGCAGGAAGGAGAATAAACCAGTGTCCATCTGCTTTTTGCAATAAAACCGCCCTATACCTAGGTCCATCTATGCCTTTTTTTCTTATTTTTTATATAAAGGAACAGGAATGGCAGAGTTTCTAAGACTAAGCGAAACAAACCTTTTAAGGGAAGCATATGAAAAGTTAAAAAGAACTTGTGCTTACTGGCAGCCTGCTGTAAGCAAGGGATTGCTATAGTTTCTCATTTAATCCAGTTTAGGCCTGCAGGGCAGTGGTGTAAGCAAAAGAGCAGCAGACTATGAGGCAGAAGAGGAGTGGGGATCTGGAGCACAGAAAGGGTGGTCATTGCATGCAGGAGTGCACACACACCTATTTTGATATACTAATAAATAGGTTCATTCCTTTTTAGGAACACCTGTGTTCTAATATGATTTGTGTTTGAAGTTTCCCAGCGAAATGCCTGGAGGGTTCTCAACAAGGTCAGAGGAGCATTCTAACAGAAGTGGAATTCACATCCATTATTTGAGAGTCCACCATGAGACAGGCACTTCATAGATGATATTTCATTTAAGACAATAAGGAGGAATTTTCATTGCCATTTTGTAAAGTTCTGAGAACCTGAGTGACGCCCTCAATCACACAGCTGGTGCGTGGCAAAGCTGAGCTCCCCTGCACACCTCACCTCACTCACTTCTCGCACGTGGAGGGCTTCTCCTTCAGTGGGCACAGGCACACTGGACCTCAGAATTCCTGGCCACACTAGGGAGGGAGCAAATGCTGACCCACATTGTCAGTGTCTGAACCAGACAACACTCTGTCAGCTCCTAAGGGGCAGGCTTCACGGCTGCCAGTCAACGGGAAAGAGAAGAACACATCTTAGAAAGGGAAAAGCTTGATTCTGAGGATGAAATCAGATTGGCTTTCCTGGGGTGACTCGGTTGCTCTGAATCATCCAGTGAAAACAAGCACTTTGCCATCTGGTAATTACCTTGGGGCCGAGGTGTCAATCCCTTCTCCTTTATCCTGCCCTCCGTAGGAAAACTCTAGCCCCTGGGTGGTCCAGATGGTCAGAGGCTTTTGCACAATGAACAGAGGCCGCTGCTCCATATGTGACTCCTTTGCCACGGAAGTCCTCCCATGAAAAACTGCAAGCAGGAAGATTTCCCTTCTCGTAAATGCCTCGTTAGAGAGTCAGCAACTTCTGGGAAGGAACTATCTGTGCCCTATCCCCCACCTCCATCTCCTTTTAATTAAGGAGTCCAAAGTTCTGTGCTTCCCACCACTATGTTCATGCCTACATAGAAGCCTCATAGAACAATCACCCTTACCAGAAAAAAAGAGAGAATCTGTTAATAACAGGCTTTGTTCTGTCTCAGTGGTTTCTACCCTTCCTCCATTCCTTCTTGACCCCTGACAGTAGCTGTCCAGAGAAACACCTCCTTGTTGAATTTAATACAGCAACTCGGGAATCTCCAACTCACTCCCACATCAGAGTCCCCAACAGCCCTTGAGAAGGGTGAAATCCTTTAGAAGAGGCCAGAATTCACCACTAAGTTAGAGAGGGTTTGATTACCCTGATTCTCCAAATCACATAGCAGCTGGTACTTCTTTTTTTGTTTGTTTGCTTTTGAGACACAGTCTCACTCTGTAGCCCAGACTGGAGTGCAGTGGCACAATCTTGGCTCACTGCAACCTCTGCCTCCCAGGTTCCAGCCAATTCTCCCACCTCAGCCCCCGGAATAGCTGGGATTACAGGTGCACACCACCACACCCAGCTAATATTTTGTATTTTAGTAGAGACAGGATTTCACCATGTTGGCCAGGCTGGTCTCAAACTACTGAGCTCAGGCGATCTGCCTGCGTCGACCTCCCAAAGTGCTGAAGTTACAGGCATGAGCCACTGTGCCCAGCCAGCAGCTGGTACTTCTAACATGCTCCTCGGAAGTCCTAGACAGCCTCCTGCCAATCGCTTTGTCCCAAACTTCTTTCTACTCACATCGAAAATTGAGAGATAACATAATACAGTGAAAGGTAGAACAGAGTAATATTTAAGGGCTTCAGTTAGACAGGGGTTCATACTCCACTATTTATGACTTAGGATAGTCACCTAACCTTTATGAGCCTGTTTCTACTCCATATTAAAAAAATAAATAAAAGTAGCTATGTAAATTATTTTATTATGATGATTTACCCATTAATGTATTTTCATGGCAAATAATAAGTATTTAATAAAATTTTGTATAGTGCATTAATATTGATATTGATATCAATGTTGATTTTGTTGTTGATATATATAGATGTTAATATTACAAGGTCAGAGCAGTAGTCATATATGCCTCGGAGCCCAAAATATACAGTTGATCATCTATAGTAGGGACTTGAAACTTGCCCAGTATTGACATATGTGGTCAGATGACTCTTTGTTGTATGGAGTTGTCCTGAGTATTGTAGGATACTTAGCAGCATCCCTGGTCTCTACCCACTAGATACCCAACACTACCTTCCCTCCAATTGCAACAACCAAAAATGTCTCTTGGCATTGCCAAATATCTCCTGGGTGGGGGGAATTGCCTATCATTGAGGACCCCTGCCCTACCATATCCTATGCTAGTCACTCAACTTCTTAACTTCAACTTTCTGTAGTGGCAAAGCAAAAAAAAAAAAAAATTCTATCAATCAAATGACTACTACGTGACAGATAATTTTAATGTTAGCTCATTTCATTCCCCACAATACTGTATGCTGTGCCCACTTATAGAGGAAGAAAATGAGAAACCCAAGCCCACGTAATTACAGAGGTGACTAGCAGTGAGTGAAGGCCAGGGAGTGTGACCGCCCGAGAAAAGAGAGGACAGAGGCTCATTCACAGGTTAGAGAGAAGCCAGAACAAAAGTGAAGGCCAAGACTCACAGAAAACAAACAAGAGATAATGACTGTGATGAAACTAAGAGATGAGACCAAAGGGTCTAGGCCTATCCGTAGTGCTTTAATGCAGGGTAAGGGGTCTGCAGGCTCTGGCCGGAAGCCGAGCTGGAGAAGCAAGTGACCAGCCCTGAGGTTCTGCAGAGTTGTTTAAACCTGAAACTGCAGAATCGCATCTTCACCCCCACAAAACGGATCTTTTTGAGTCCATAAAGATGCACACAGTCAGCTGGAGAAAAGAAAAACAGGTAGAAACTGAGCATAAATGTCAGATGAATGCCAGTGATCTTCCGCGAGGACTCTAGATCTAAGCCAGGTACCAATGGTTTGCCTGTTTGTATGGAATTTTCACCCTGAAATATGTTCTGCTGGAATAAAGCAGGTTGTAAACACTAGCCTATTCACTAAGACTGTTATTATTAGATGACTCACCAACCAGGAAAGAGAGGGAAGAGGAAATGACCAGTGTGACTGTCTGAGGAGGAAAGCCCTACTCCCTGAGCTCAGGGGAGAAAGGAGATGAAAGCAGGGATGCTTCATGCTGGTTGACTCACAGCATCTTGAGTGCTAAGCCGAGCCAACTGTGTTACTGTCTGGGAATCAGGGCTCAGATGGAATAGTTCTGGGGCCTAGGTCTGCAATCGACTAGTTGGCAACCCTGGGTGGATCATTTTTCTACTCTGAGCTGCAATTTCTTTATCTGTTGAAGCCAGGTGATAGCACCTGCCTTGAGTAGCTGGTTAAGTAGCTAAGGTGTAAAGGAGAGAGTTGTGTGGAAAGCAGCCTTAATATCTACTCTGGTTGATGAAAAGAGTCTTGAGGACCTTCCTTTATCATTAAAACAGTAAGACTGGGACTCATGGGCCCGGCATCCAGAGTCCCAACTATGAAAGAACCAACTGGTCAACTACTCCATCTGATGAGAACCCACCTACACAAATTCTCTTACTGTCTTCTGGTTCTGAGAAAGTCCCTCTATCCCTTTGGTTTCTTGGATATTCATGGTCCCAGAACAGTTGCTTAAGTACAATTCTATATTAAAGGAAGAAATAAACTGTAATTATAACTCAGCGCTCACTCCTTTCATGCCTTGAGAATCCCATTGCTGTCCAGTTCTAGTCTCCCCACCCTGATCCCCACCCCTGGCCAAAGACGTAGACACAGCAGGGGCTTCCACCAGCCTTACCAATATGCACTTTTAGGGACAGAGGAGAAAAACCAGTCTTCCCGTGGCTCCAGGAAATAGATCCAAGTATGTTCTCAAACATGGTGTTCAGAAAAATATGGTGTATTTGGTTAAGCACATCCCCCTTCCATCTCTGAATCCAGGAGTAGCCACGAGGGACATTTTATCCATATGTTTCTCATTCATTCAAATGTAACTCACTAAAGCACTGCTAAGAAGTACAAGGCCAAGACGAGTTTGCGTGCTATATCATTTATTAATTTTGCTTTTACTCCAGAAGCAGTAAATCATATTTTCCGGAGAGCAAGCGATATCAACCCTCAAAATATTTACACTTGAGCCAAGCACAGCACTTCCACACTGTACCATGGTTGATTCGTGCAGAAACACACACCCCAGCTGTGGGAGGGCAGGATTCTCTACTGAATAGCTTGAAATAAACATGTCCAAAAATTATGGTGGAATTTTACAGTTAAAAAAAGTATATTTCCATAAAACATACAAAGCACACAATATAAAATGTGACAATGTCTTTTTGATTGTTGGAAATATACAGAAGATGCCATGATTCTCAAGTAGGTGAAGGAAATATATCAGAGTTGTTATGGAGTGTAACGTGTTTATGTTAATCAAAAGAGGAGTTGAAATTTGAAAAAACCTGCTATAAGAGAGAAATATTACCTGTCTTCCTTTAGAAATTTTGAATGTGTTTGATATTGATTTGTTTTGTTTCTTATTTTCATAGTTAAATCTGTTTGTTTGAATTAAAAGTGGAAAATTACTGATCCAAAAGTTTACCATTTTTAGCTAGTCAGTTTGAATGTCTTCCTATTTCTCCCTTTGCCATTTTTCAATAGTCTGATATCAGATTAGACCTTTAATCTCTGCTTAAGTATCAGTTTTCTTTTTCTTCCTTAACATTGAATGCCTTGGTTGGTAAAAGAAAAAGAACAGGAGCTTTGGAGCCAAGGAGAAGGATTCAAATTCAGCTCGACCACTCCCTGGCTTGGACAAGTTGTTCCATTTTTGAAACCTCGGCTGCTCTATTTGTCAAGTCCTTATCACCCTCTATCTTGCTTCTAGTGCTAGAAGCTCTGTCCATTTCTTACTACCCCTAACCATAAAGCTTCCCAATAAAAGAGGTAGATAAACCTGAAAATAGGTGAGAACGAAGGTTTGAGGGAAGGGCAATGAGCACAGACCTAATAGATCCAGGACATAAAAGCCAAATGTCCCCAGTTTTACATGGTCTGTCCCAGAGTTGATGCCTCTTAGGTTGTCCGTGCAGTGGCTTATTAAATAAGAGGAAATCAGGAAGCAAAAAAAAAAAAAATCCTATTTTGGAATAGTAGAGAAAATAATCACACACACATATAAACACACGCAGATGTCCATGTTGTAATCCCCAGATCCTGTAAATATGCTACTTTATGTGGCAAAAGGTATTTGCAGCTGTGATTGAGAATCTTACATAAAGTGATTATCCTGGATTATCTACCTGGGTCCCATGTAAACAGAAGGGCCCTTATAAGTAAATGAGGGAGGAAGGGGAATGAGAGATTTGAAAGTATACTATTGCTGGCTTTGAAGACGGAGAAAGGGTCACCAGCCTTAAGAAGTTGAAAAAAGCAAGAAAGTGGATTCTGCCTTAGAACCTCTAGACAGAACACCGCCCTTCCAACACCTCGACTTCAGCTCCATGAGACTCATTTTGGACTTCCAACCTCAAAAGCTGTAAAAGAACTGTTGTTTTAAGTCACTAAGTTTGTATTAATAGAAATGTGTTACAGCAGCAATGGGATACTAATGCAGTTGGTACTGAAAGCTGCATGCTGGGTGGTCAAGCTACATTGCATATGCATTCACCAACAGTCTAGGGGTATCAGAGGGAGCAGAGAAGCCTAAAGAGTCTGTCTCTCATGAGAAAAGCCTTCGAAGCAGGACCTGACAAGCTCTTCCCAATCTAGGTTCCTCTCTGTGTTAGTTATCGATCACTGAATATTAATTTAC